ACAGCTGTTCTCATGCAGGCAAGCTTCAAGATACAAAAGTGAAGAGGAAAAATGGTGTAACTGACAAGCAACTTCCACAGCTGGATTTTTCCGAGGTTTTGAGGGCTTCCCAGCCAGGAGACCCTACCCGTCCTCCTGCCTGCCTTGCAGGTCCTGCGCATCGGTCCGGCAAAGCGTGGAAGAGCTTTGGCAGTGTGTATCGGGAGCTTGATCTGGTTTGTGCTTTTGCAGCGTGCACCTGGTAAAAGGATTGCATTTGCTAGCTGGACCACATGGCCTCAGAGCACCGTCCGGGGTGGAGCTATACCATCACCTGGAAGCCATCGCTAAAGATTCAACAGTTACATATCACTGACTTGATTTTAATTTTTCCCAGTGGCGTGTTTGGGGGTTGAGTCAGAGTCATTACACTCAAGTGTCTCAAGTGGCTGAATCACCCGTTATTTCCGTAGCTGCCTTCCTTGGGAGCCTGGGAGCAATTGGGCTTTTTAGCACCATCTGGCTTTAGCTGGTTTTATTACCAGAGATGTCTGTGTAGCTGCTAGTTGAAAGTCTTTCTTTGGGATATAGAGGAAAAGAGAGTTTTAGAGAAGACTTTGGGTTGTTCTTTGACAACTAAGTACTAAATCCATTCTTGATTTTAGTTTTGTTTAAAGTGGTCTGTGTGTGCCCCTTGGGGGCTCTCAGCATGTGCATAGTGGGTGCTAGAACATACTCTGGGGTGCAGGGAGCAAGCTGTGGTGGGAGGCAGTGCTGCCTTTGGGGTCCCTCCCCACCCCTGGAGAGCCCCTTGCCCTCTGCCATGGGGCTGCCTTGGGGTCTCAGCCTTCACTCGGGTTCCTGGGCCAAAGAATTACATTTTGGTTTCTATAATCAAAACTGAATATGCCTTTGGAAAGTCATGAATGTGGAGGTGACTTCGATACGTCAGGACTGTCCAGGAGGATGGGCCTCGGAGACTGTAGTTCAGTCTCCTGCCTATGAGATCACGCCTGCCTTCACAACTCCCTGGTGCTGGACCCAAGATGTTCTTGTCCTGCACCGGCCGTTTCGGCCCTCAGGGGCTTCCCCAGCAGACTCCAAGACTGGCAATGTTTTGTGCCATGAGGCTCATCCTGTGCCCTGTGGTTGGCTCTGATGGGTCTCCAGAAAGTCTCTGTAGGGTTCATGTGCTATCATATTTATTTGTTTTCTTGTGAAGAAGAGCAAATCTCTTCCACTACAGAAATAACTACAAAGACTG